AACTTATTATCATGATCAGTCAACTATCTATTAAAAAAGCAAAATAATTATTAATAAAAATAAGATATATTATTATTATAGCAATTATTTTAGTGATTCCTGTGACAACAATTTTAGCAATTGTGTAAAAAAGTAATTTAATTTAAAGTAATTTACACTTAAAACTTGAACAAATTATTGAAAATAATAAAAACTATGTTTTTACTTTGAATATACGACATCTACTTAACGCGTAATGTCAAAGCCGTCAAAAAGAAGTCATAATGACATATTTATAAACAGGTCTCAGAAAAGACGTCTTTTAGCTTTGATCTAGACGTCTTTTAATGCGTATTTTAGACTATTTAATACGCGTCTTTTAAACGTATTTTTAAACTTTAAAAAGACGCATTTTAAACGTCATGTTAAAATTGCATTTATTAAAGACGTCTAGAAGATGTCTTAAAAAAAGATATCTTCTAGACGTTTTTTTAACGCCTAAATAGACGCCTTTTAAACGTCATTTTAAAAACGCCTTTATAAAAGACGTCTAGAAGATGTCTTTAAAATTGACGTCTTCTAGACGTCTATTGTCTTTAAAATTGACGTCTTCTAGACGTCTAGTCACATGAACAATAAAAGACAATCAATATTGATTGTCTTTTATTGTTCATGTGAATAAAAAACCACTCTTCTAACTTGGTAAAGCGGAATGAGTTTTCACTCAAATAAAAGTATCAATAAAGATTCATATAAATAAATACTTCAAAAAATAAAAAATATCTCGTTTAATTAACACGTTAAGCAATAAGCATATTTAACATAAAATCAAATAAAATTTCTTGAAACATTCTACATAATCTTCAGTTTTATTCATAATTTTTATAAAAAAAAACATCTAGAAACTATAGAAATGTTTCATTTTAGAAGGATGATTAATGAATGTCTTATTTTATTTATTTATTTGTTTTTTTAAACACCCAAATTACAGGTAAAAAAACAAATTGTATAAAACTAATAATTATACTTTCAGTGTAAAAAATTTAAATTTTTCTTGGGATGTTTTCCTTCATCAACTTAGTAAATACCAGTATTTGTTCTCTGATATTCCAGAATTCAAAAGAATGGTTCAAAATTGCCCTACCAAAGAGAGTAAAGCATTTGCCGCTATAAAAGAGAGTAAAGCTAGTAGTCTTTTTTCTAATTTTGAGATAATTTAGTTGCTTTAGAAATACATGTGTGTCCATAGCATTCAATTATTTCAGTAATACAGAAATTTCTAAAATTCCAATATAAAGCATTTTATTTTCGCAGTCAAAAAGTCACTTGGTTATGCAAATTTTCATAAGCGCATATTGCTACCATCTTGATTTGAAGGGGCGAACAAACAATTGAGTTAATAAAACAAGAGAATTAGTACGCAAAAGTGAATTAAAGAATTTTAAAAAACAAGTCGAATATTTTGAATAACTCAATTTTAACGCCGCAGAACAGCATATAAACAAACTTGCAATCCTATGAATCAATTTTTGTCGATACAAGTTTTATTCAAATACTTGGAAAGATGACCTAACTGAATAGCTATGAGTTCAATTGAATGATATTTATTATTATTTAATTAATAGCCCTAGAATAATTTTTTTTGAGGCTATAGATAATTACAAAGCATTCGATGCTTATAAACATTTGTTTCTGGCTAGATACAGAAAATTTTTCACACAACATTGAGCTCTGGTTTTGTTGTTTTGAAAACACAAGTTGTCACCACAAGTTTGAAAACACAAGTTGTCACCAGATTTGACTTGAAACTTCAAAACCATCTAGCGAAACATAACACAAGTGCTAAATACAAGTATTAATTATTCACAGTGTTCTTTTGAAAACAATACACTTATTTTGGACATCTGTGGTTTTTCCGTTGTAAACTCATCATCTCATAAATTATGTTAGCTTGTAACCTTTTAGAGTATTTATGTTTTTAAAGGTAGATGGTAACATATTGTAATATATTGTAATATAACACATTGTAGTATAACTAAAACGTACTAAGTGTGGGATGGGATAATAAAGCCATTCTCCTCCCCCCCCCACCCTTGTAATAAAAAAAAAGTTTAAACAAAATATTATATGAAAGTGATTTTTTTAACAAAAAAAAGCAACAGAGCTATGTATGCTTGTTTCAGTTTATCAGGCACTTCGATCATTAATCTAAACAGGTTGGATGTAATACACATAAAATTAAATATTTCCATTTTTCCATACAATTAAACTTTAACTTTTAATATTTCATAACCTTTAATAATTCAATTTCTCTAAGTGAACATGTCTTAAATGGACAAACAACCAAGAAGTTTGGCTTTGAAACTGTAAAGTTCAGAAATTTTTCTTGTATCATGTTTATATACATTATTAAATTGTTATGGTTTTTTGTGAGATCGTCTAGTGTTTCTGCAAGAAACTTTTGATTTGCAATGGCCAATGTTTCTGCCACATTTTAGTTCTAATTGGTAATGAAACAGTAATGCAGTCAAGTTTTTCAGTTTTATAACCTAGATAATAAGATAAAATTAAAACTTTTCCTTTTGTATTTTGCCTAGCACGTAAATTGAAAATCAAAATAATTACAAAATATGTTTTATAGACCCAATACAGTTTTTTTAGGTTTTTTGTTTCAGTTTGAAATGTTAAACACTTTAACGTAATCTAGAACTTTTGACCTGCAATGTTAATTTTGATCTCTAAAATACTAAGGGAAGGATGCGTGTGGCGGTGAGGAGGGTTCTGCCCCCCAAAGAAGGTGATTTTCAAGTTATAGTCGTTTTTTTTTACAAATTTAGTAGGCTATTCGGTTATTTGACACAGTTCAGTCGAGTAAATTTTTGTTTTGAGGACCTTTTTGTATTAATTTTTTTTTAAGCACCAGTCGGTAAGTTTTAAAGATACCCCCCTCATTTTATTCGTAGGATCTGACTGATGACGTTCAACTGGTGGTTTCCTTTTGAAACCAAAAAAGAGAAAAGGATTTGGAAAGTTAAAAATAATATGAATTGCTAATTGTAATGTACACTTATCCATTATTTGTAGAATAATGCATTGTATTTTCATAATTTACCTCTAAAAGTTAAACAGTAAAAGAATATGTTTAAAAATACTAGAATATAAATTTCATAAACTTTTAATAAAGTAAAAAAAGGTTTTAAATACAGCATATTAATTAAGTTGCATTTTTTTTAGTAAAACGAAAAAATGAAATTCGGTACAGTTTTTTTCCACTCTTATTTCCACAGTTATTATTCACAAAGTTATTGTTTTAAATAAAGATCTAAACTCTTTTAGATGTTTTAGACAAAAGTAAAACTTGTTATTATATACTTTCTGTGGTACGGCTAGACATTCCAGAAAACTTTGCAATAAAATTACATCGAGTCATAAAATTATACATGATTTTAGTAGTAGTAGTAGTAGTAGTAGTAGTAGTAGTAGTAGTAGTAGTAGTAGTAGTAGTAGTAGTAGTAGTAGTGTAGTAGTAGTAGTAGTAGTAGTAGTAGTAGTAGTAGTAGTAGTAGTAGTAGTAGTAGTAGTAGTAGTAATAGTAGTAGTAGTAGTAGTAGCAGTAGTAGCAGCAGTAGTAGTAGTAGTTGTAGTAGCAGCAGTAGTAGTAGTTGTAATAGTAGTTGTACTAAAAACCATAATTTATAATTTATACATTTAAAACTTACAAGTAAATTGTATTATCTTTTAGCACCACGTCATTTCGAAACTAAATGGAATCAAATCAAAAACGTTGTCATGAATTTGACTTCTTTAAAGGTAACTTTTCATTTACACGCCGAATATTTTTTATTTAACGTTTCAATAATTGCTACAATAATTATTTATTAAACATATAGTGTATATCGCAAATATTTAGCTGAGGAAAATTAAATGATTTTAAAAGCATTAAAAAATCAACAATAGTATTTATATAGAAAATTGAATATTAATTTTTAGGGGTCATATAAGAAGTTATTTATATGCAGCTTATCATAAAAACTTATTGAAAGCTATTTATTTGTATGTAAACAAAATAAGTATGATCGTTTAATTAATTAACATTTAATATTAACTTTTATAACAATATAAAAACTAACTTTCAAGAGCTATTTTTTTTTTGAAGCAATATAAATATTAAATAAGCTATATAATTTTTTTTTTTTTTTAATTTTTGTAAATCAAGCTTTTAAAAATGTGGCGGGATAGATGGTAAGAGCGTCAAAGCAAAAAGTTAAAACCAGGACTGTTGGATTAGCCTTAATGACTATTTGTGGCTGTTTCTATGCCAAGCCAACAATATCTTCAGATATAAGAAAATTGTATAGAAAAATATAGCATGAAAAACTTTTTTTTCATCAAACTTCTCAGAACAAAACACTTCCTAGTGGGATTAGGCTCCGATCTCTGAAACCTTGTCAAAATAGTTTATGTTGGTGGTCTTTATTGAGACAATTTAATTGAAGAATTTTTCAAGTTTCTTGTTTTCGTATTCCAAAGCTTTCAAATAAAACATTCAAATCGCCAGGTTATTTGAATTTGTGACATGATGACTGTCAATAACTTTTTTGTGCACAGAAGACTTGTAATACCGGTGGTTAGGGTAAAACACCCAGTATTCGCCACTTTTTTCTACCCTGCTCCACTAAAAAATTTTTTTCTCACTCGTTTTTCAATAAATGATTGATCTTAAATATTTATCGTACAGATGGATAGTTGGGCTATACGCTGTACTTAGAACGAATGACCTCCGATAATTAATAAGGGGGCTATAGTTCCCGAAAGTTGAAAGTGGCGTACACAGGAACGGTCCCCGTGTTCGCCAGGCAATTTTTTTAACCTGTTCCAGTGTTCGCCACCCTCAGACTTTTTAAAAAATGAGTTCTTTTTTTTAGTTATTTGGTATTAAAAATATATTTAAATAATTGTTGAATAATTTTTTTATGTAATGGAAAATTTTTTTGGTTTCTTCTTTGCCATTTTTTAGCTGGAACACTTGGCTTGTTGCGTTTAGCTAATTCAGCAACTAAGCGCTTCGTTTTTCTCTCCTCTTTTGCTTGTTCTTGTTTGTTTTTTTCAAGCCTAATACCTTCTAGCATCGAGACAACTTTATCTGAAGTCACTACAGATGTGGCATGAAGTTCTTGAGCCACTGTACGAACCTTTCCTATGAAAATTAAAATAATAATCAGGTTATAATAAAGTAAATTTATGACCATAGGCTACATGTGGTAATTTTACAGAGATTAAAAGTTGAAATTATAATAATAAATTTAAAATATAGGTAGCCTAGTTAATACACTAACCGATAGCTTTTTTTGGAGAAGGGAACCACTTATGATTTTTAAGAGCAGGACTAATCGCAGGTGATCTTGCTTGTCTTGAGGTTCTACCAACATAGGCCTAGTCCTGTTTGGAGGGGCTGACATTGAGGAACACTGTGCATCTGAACTAGAATGAATACTAGGTGAATGAACTGGGGAAACAACAAGGGAATCAACAGCTGGTGCATCCTCTTGCCGATGATTTCGATCAAAGACATATTGGAACCAATTTTGCCTCTTCACCATTCTGAGTAAATCAAATCGTGGCGAATCGATGACAAAGTCATCAAATGATTTTGTTATCCTGTAATATAAATAAGAATTGTTTTATAATAGTTACTAACTTTTATTACCCTGTAATATAGATAAAAATTAGTTTATAATTGTTACTAACTTTTATTACCCTGTAATGGCTATAAATAAAAATTGGTTTATAATAGCTACTAACTAGCTAGCTGGGCTTATTATTTTATATTGATACAAATGTTAGACATTAATACCTAGCTATCACTTACAGGTGAATGTTTGGGCCTGCTCCCAGTCCTTCCATCGTGCTAGTACTTGTGTTACCAGACAAGATGATGTCAGAGGATGTCTGTGTCGCAACATTGACATGAAAAAAATTTTCAACTTGAGTGGAAGCTTCAACACGACCGTCTTGAAGCACTCCTTCAAATATTCGACTGTCTCCGGAGTGGGCTTCTTCAAGAGTGAGCTTGGTATAATCAGGATCGTCTTGATCAAATGGCTGTATGCCACATTTTTTAAAGGATTTTACCATTTTCTCTCTACTCATGACCCTTGTGTACACTGGCAGGAACATTCCTGCAAAGGACTCTTTGGTAACGTATTCATTTGGGTTGGCAGCCCTGAACCTATTCACACACTTAGCCCATTCATTTTTCATAGGGCCAAACAATCCTACGTCCAAAGGCTGCATGAAATGGGTACAGTTTGGTGGGATCAATATAAGCATTATTTGCAGGTCTGCTAAGGGTTTAACTAAATGAAATTGCAGCCTCGATTCATGTTTGTCGGACCAAACTATAACTGGTCTTTGTATATTATGTTGAGTTAACCATTGGTCAAATGCATTAGTGAGATACTCATAAAGCACCTGATGGTTAATATATCCCGATTCACTTTTTCCGATTGCAAATAAACTGGATGGAATGGCTTCGTATACATTCATAGGAATACGAAGGTTAGGATAAATTATAAGCGGTGGAGGGAGAGAGCCATCGGCACCAACGTTAGCTGCAAAGAAAAGTGCAAAAAAACCAAAAGTTAGCAAGCAGGCCAAGCTAGTATCATGCTAAGCTATCATGCTCAGAGATATGTTGAAAAAAAAGCATTTTATAGTGCAGCATTAAAAGAAAAGCATTACAGAAATAACATAAAAATGAGCAAAGAATAAAATGAAAATGTACCTAGAACAGTGATTCTTTCCTTTTCTTTTGAAGATGTCGCATACGGTACATTTTTAGAACCCTTAGCAGCTAAAACTTTGGAAACCTTGGGTGAAAACTGGAACCCCGACTCGTCAATGTTATAGTTACGCTGGGGTTCCTGAAGGATTTCAAGAAGGTCATGTTCAGAGAGGTACGATCTTATATCAGCAAACCATTGTTGTATGACAGCTTGTGAGATATTTCTTCTATTCGCACTTAATGATTCAGTCATACGAGCAACTATGTTAGAATGCCTCGACAGGAATAGCTTATACTTTAGAAAATAACGGCTAAATTAGTCGACTAGGTATAGGCTATTTCTATTAGACTAATTTTATGTCTGTATTAATTGTTATAGGCTTTATTTATTAAGCTACAAATGTTTTATAAAGTTAATTTGTAATGAAAAATCTTATGACTCGTTATTAAAATTATAACATTTTTTTTTATTTTAATTACCTATAGGTCAACTTTTATAACTTAGGCACAACCTACTTACCATTTATTCCCTGGCTGTCGAGTCCCTGATCTTCCAAATTGAAAGGGACGGTTTCTATTTACTTCCATAAGTAACCTTTCATCCGAAAGAAGACTAGTTACCAATGACATAATGGTTTCTTTGGTAACAGGGTGGGCACGTTTCTGTGCGCTAACAATAAAATTCACCAAAACATTTTCTTCTGCTTCAGTGAGGTAGGTTTGTGGGCCCATCTTTTTTACAACAGGCGTTTTACCACTTATTTTGTCCCTCAATGTGGTGCGCGGGATATTGTACAACTTGGATGCCTCTGAAGCAGTTCTTTCACCACTGAAATATAGCACAGTATAATTTAGGTATGCAACTACTTTATCAGTACTAGGCAGCCCTACCCTATGTATTTCTTTTAAATGTATTATAGGCATTAGGCTATTATGACTACACAATAAGCAATTTAAGCATTGAAATTATGTCTATTAATGCATGCTAATTTTATTACCTTTTTACTTCTTCAATTGCCTTTCTAATGTCCTCCTCAGTGTAAGAATCTCTTGTAGACATACGTGAACCCTTATTGGACTTTGATTTACTAGTATTCATAATTCTAAATGGATATTATGTACCTAGGTACTTATTGAAACTATTTATTATAAGTCTTAACTTGATATATAAATTAATTTAATATAGTTATATAGCCCTATTTGGACTGCTTTAGTATTGTTTAATAACTAGGTTAACAGATAACCTACTTCTGAAATAAAAAATAAATACTTAGCTATATTTATACATTTAATAAAAAATAAAAAATAATAATTTGTTCCCGATGGCGAACACTGGCAAAAGGGGGGTGGCGAACACTGGACAAATTTAAAACGCCTATAACTTTTTTGTTTTTAAACGAAATTCAACCTAACGAAGACTGGCATATGGGTCAAAGTCCATATTTTACCATTAAGCCCATATACGCCACTTTAAAGAAAAAAAATTTACCTGGCGAAGACTGGACTAGGTACTATTATGTGTTCCAGTCTTCGCCACCCCCCCTAACCCTGCCCCCCTTAATTTTTTTCCAAGAATAGCCCTGGTACAATCTTCTCCTTGTTCTTCCCATCAATCTGGAATAAAAAAAGTGAAATTGAATTGATATTTAATATGTTTTTTATGTAATTGTTTAAAAAGATTTCTGAAAAAAAATTTCAAGGATTAAGGTTTTTTTGTGACACACTTTCATTCAAAAAAATACTTAGAGTTTATTTATTTAGTTACGATCGTCAAACTTTCGTCAAATATAAAGCAATGATGGGCGTTCATTCTAGACACTATTTCGGCACTTTCAACCAAATAGTTTTTGACATGCATGTTTTTTAATGGAAAACTGGCGACGACTGGAACACCTGGCGAACACTGGGTGTTTTACCCTATGCTTTAAAAAAAATGCTAGAAAAAACACAAAAACTTGATTAGATCAAGTTTGACCTTCTTTTCAGAATTCAGAGCGCAAAGCTACTTCCTCTATGCCTAGCACTACAATATCTTTTGAATAATCGTAGTAATTGATTTAAATAAAGAAATAATTATGTACAGGCCCGCGGCAACTTTTAATGACGCCTGGGGTCAAAATTTCACCAGCTTCTCATCATATCCCATTATTGCAATAAGGTTTACCAATACAAACGTTACAAGATTACCAATACAAACGCTAAAAGTAGTTAATTTTGTTTTTTTATTGATTTCACAAATTCTCGTGAAATTTGAGGAACGAAGCCCGAGGGGCCTATACAGTCAAGAAGGCTGCTCTTTTTTTAATAAAAAAACAAACACAAAAAAAATATATATAACTAGGAATATACTAAGCCAATTTCGACCTATGGTAGATTTTAGCAAGTAGTTTACAAACTTTCAGATTTATTTTCAAGTTCAAGCAACAAGCTCTAGTGCTCAACCTATGCTTGATATTTAAAAAAATATGAATTCAATTCCTAAGTATCATGGTACTATTACAGTCAAGGAGACTTCTTATATTTAGATTTATTTTTTCAAAAAGTTATCAAATTAAAAAATAAATAGTCTCACTTTTAAATTAATTAATTTTTATACTCCTATAAAATTTAAAAATAATTTATAACCATCGGCCTAAGATTCTTGTTTTAAAAACAATCGTCATCAATCCTACTTTTAATTAAGCACCCCTACTTTTTAACAGAATTGCAAATTTGGAATTTACTTTCGATTAAAGTTTTAAATTGTGTGCACGGCCCATACATTATTATTATTGAATTAATGCAATATTTATGTCAAGAATTATTTTTAATTTTTTTAAAATTTTATAGGAGTATAAAAAATTAATAAATTTAAAAGTGAGATTATTTATTTTTTAATTTGATGTTTTTTTGAAACAATAAATCTAAATATGAGAAGTCTCCTTGACTGTAATCAGTGCCGGCCTTAGGGAAGGGGGATGAGGTTGGGCGTTACCCAAGGGCGCCAGGAAACTGGGGCGCTAAACGTTGTATGCAAACTTTAACAATATAATAAATAGAAAAAATAAGTCAACCTAAATTTTTTCGATTTCGATTTTCGATTTTTTGTTATTTTTTCGAATGTTTTTTTTTTTTTTTATATAAAAATAAGTTCTTTATATAATTTATTTATTATATTATTACACTGTTAAAAATTCTTTATGCAAAATTAATAATTTGATTAAAAGTGTTTGAATCATAGCATATATCTTGTTACTTAAATTCATTTTTTTACTTTTATCTTTCTCGGCGCCAATTATTTTGCGTTCCATTTATTTAAAGTTTAAATTTTCAACATTATTTTCAGTACGAGTTGCGAGCGCGTTGTTTATTAATTTGTAGAAGAAATTCAAAGTTGTATTTGTGATTCAAATTCAGTTATTGTCAAGTTTTCAAATTTTGCGGTAATAAAAAGCAGGTAAGTATAAATAATGAAATTGTTTATGAATTATTAGCTTGCGAGTAATTTTTTATTTTTAAATTTTAGACAAATCGCGACGTTAGAATTATCTTGTGCTATCTCCATGTTTTTGCAAACTTAGAAAATCGATGTCAAAGTTGGAATTTGTTCGCAGCTAAATTGAAAAAATATTTTGAGAATTTAGGTATTTCCTAAGATTTAAAAATGTTTTATTATTAATTTTTAGATAAAAAAAACTTTTTAAAATTACGCTAACGCCCTTTTTTTCGCACCCTCTTTTGGAGATAGAACAAAATAACTTTGGTTTTTAGTAAAATTCAAAAATATTATGTTGTTATATCATATATATTAAACATATTAAGTACATTTTTCAACAAGGACATGTTAGAAATTGATGAAATTTTGTTCTACCTGCTAATTATTCTTACGCAGTACCATACACTCCTAATTTATGGGCATGGGCCCCTAATTTAACGAGACCCTTTTCAAAATATAAGACGCTTTTTGTATTACCTAAAAAATTAAGTTTTTTTAAATAAAATGAGGCCCTAATTAGGAGAACTTTTAGAAGAGCCTCTAACGACACTGTTCTTACGACTTACATTTACTTTAATTACCTGTAGGCGCCGGCCCTGGACAAGACTAAGACGTCTAATTTAAAACGGAAAATTTGGCTACGTAATAATAATATAAACGTATTAATATAATATAAACGTATAAAATAAATTATGAAAGGTATATAGGAAAGAGTTATGTTAAAAAAAATGTAATAATAAAAGAAATAACATTATGTAACTATCTGATAATTCACAACAATTCAACTAATCTAATCACAAACTTCATGCAAGATGAACTTGATTTTATTTTTCTTATGCCTGTGTATCCATTAATAGAGTTTAACTTTTTATTAAAAGTTATTGCAAATATTTACAAATAAAAAATTGTTACTCAAGTTAACGTCAGGAAGGGCATCAGGTTGTGAAACATTGCTTTAACTCTTTCATAGTGGCCTTTATGTCACTATGAAAAACCATTCAAACCAAACAAGTGGGGGAAAATGAATATAAAAGTACAAAAAAACAAACAAAAAAAACACAAGCTAAACAAAAATTTTTATCAAGATTTCAAAATAATATTATTTCAATGTGCTTTATATTTATATTTATACTAAATAAATATTTTATTTAAATATGTTATTTATATGTATATTATTTATATTATTATATATATATATAAATATGTTATTTATATTTATACTAAACATATAACAACCCTAAAAATATTTTGACTTTATTAATGTTTTGTAAATGTTCAATTTATTATTGTTTTATAAAATGCAATATCAACAGCAGGCATGTATGAATACATGGAAATGATATCATTGGCTTTTGCAACAGATATAGACTGATAAGAAGCACGAAAGCAAGCTGCCATTGGTATATTGGTATTTAATGG